AGAGTCTTCTCCAGATCCTAGCATAGTCTCCATCCCACAGGAGTGGTCTTTTAAAACGCAAATATGAGCTCACATCTCATTGCTTTTTTAAAATTGAGATATAACTAACATATTACATTGTATTAGTTTTAGCTGTACAACATAACGATTTGCCATATGTATATATAGCAAAAGGATTACCACAATAAGTTTTGTTAACATCCATCACCACATACAGTTACAAAATTTTTTTTTTTCTTGTGCACATTTCATCGCTTTCAGGACAAAGTCCAAAATCCTGAGTGCTGCATACAAGGCACAATCGGGCCCCAGCCTACTTCTCCAGCCTAATGACAACATAGGTCTAGGCATATGCTTTGCTTGGCAGGCTCTCTCCCTTCCTCTCCTCTTCACCCCCCCGCCTTCTTTAATAGCTAACTCACACTCCTTATTATTTTACACCTGGCTACCCCATAGGCTGCCCATCTGACCCTGACGGCATTTGAGTTTGCGATAATGCTCTTTTTTTGGACCAGATCTCAGCATAGGCCGAAGCGGTTCTTTAAGGAACGGTTCTTTAAGAAAGCTTTTTGTGGACCAGATCTCAGCAAGATGGCCTGAGCCTATTTGGGCAGGCTCAATTATTAGGTTCTTTTTAATAAATATCAGTATCATCTAATAGCTAATAAAGCAAATTAAGGGATATAGAGCCATCCCCATAACCCCACTACCAGGTGTGAAAGCAATTGTCAGACCAAATTCTACAACACATTTAGGTGCAAGCAGGTACAGAGTCATAATATGTTTTGTAAGCTCAATGATGTTCAGCTCTCAGCCCTTTCAAGTTCACATCCTGTATGAAAGATTCACTTGAGGAAATGTGATGGTGTTCCAGTCCTGGGATGCTGCTAACATCATAGTTAGGTTTAGGCTCAAGACTTCTCTAAGTCAGTGACTGAACACAGGACTGGTTCAGAATTAAGCTTTGGGCTTCATTCTGGAGGGCATAGGCTTTCATATAAAGGTTGGAATGCTTTCTCCACATTTTAAACACCACTTATTTATCCACTGAAAAATAACTTGTAATGTCCATTGTGCTAACTAAAAAACCCTCTGGTGTTAATTGAAGATAAAGATAACTGTTAGGAAAGGCAGTCTCCCGTATGCAGTCTTGCATCCCCAAGTTGGCTGCATAAGAATGGGCCTTGGGCTTGGAACACTTCCTAACCAAGAGGTACAGAGCCCACACAGCCTGTGCTGGATGTATCACCTCTCTTTGCTCCATCAAGCACCTCCATCTCTCTTTTAAATTCAGCCTCCTGTCTGTAGTACCTGTTTTTTTCCCTCATCATATAAATATATTCATCTCTTTTAACCTATGACTCCCTTTAGCTTTTCCTATATGTTTCTTCAATTTCTACTTCCCCACTTTCTTACCTTCTATTGGCCTTCAATCATCCACAAACTAGTTTCTGCCTCCCTTGCTCCCATGAAAAGACTTTTGCCCAAGTCAGTAAGGATCAAGTTACTTCTTTTGGTTTGAGGCATTTACAGAGCTGTATATTAACTAAGGTAGGTGAGGATACGCTGTGGAAACCAACTCCTAAATTTTAATGGCACTACCTAATAAAGGTTTATTTTTTGCTTATGTCATGATTTACTCATGTAAATACTCATGTTTCTTGGCCTTTCAGGTGGTGATTCAGGGACTTAGGCGCCTTTCATCTTGTGGTTCCACCATCCGCTAGGGAATTATGGTCCTCAGCTGGACCATCTTTTTGTTCATATCCTATGTAAAACCTGCTCCTCAACTCATAAGTCCCCATCTTGGTAAATGGGCGTCTACTCAGTCACTAAACTAGAAAATTAGAAGTGATCCTACATTCTTCCCTTATCTTCTGTAACCAAGGTTTCTCAACCACTACACTATTGACATTTTGGGCTGGATAATTCCTGTGGGAGCTGTCCTGTATATTATAGGATGTTTAGCTGCCTCCTTGGCCTCTACTTACAAGATGCTGCCAGATACCTACAAGACCCCCACTCCCAACCACCTGCCAAGTTGCGACAACCAAAAATATCTCCAGACACTGCCAAATGTCCCCTGGGGAGGGAGGGGATCACCCCAGTTGAGAACTGCGTCATCCAGTCCTATAAACTCAACCATTGCAATATTATCCCTTCCATCCCACTCTTCTTGCCATTAATTTTACTAAACTCCACATCATTTTGTGTCTGGATTTCTCCAGCTGTCTCCTATCTGGCTGTGGCAAGTTGGCTGACCTAACAGTCATTCTTGACTCAAACCTTGATTGCCACCTTCCACTAAAGAAAAATGGAATGCTTGTTTTTCAGCCTCCCATGTGTGGCCAGGTGACACCATTTAGCATGGCAAACCAGGTTTGTGAAGAGGGTGCCAGTCGAACGTAAAGGTTAAGAGCCTTTGCTCTTAACTTTTGCTCTCATCCAGCTTGATGAGATCCAGCTTGGATTGTATGGACTTATCCAGCTGGGCTCATCCAGCTTGGATTGTATCTCAGCCTCTGGTAGTTGCGTAGCCTTAGAAAAAGTTCTCTGATCCCTATCACTAGGATAAAAATAGTCTGACTTTATATCATTATTGTGAAGATAAATGAGTTAGTATGTATAAAGTGTAGAGTACTATACCTGGCTGAAGGTAAACACTGGATAAATGGTGGCTATGATATGCGAATGGCAGTGATGATATCTCTCTTTTCCTTGCTAATGTCAAAGGTTACTACTTCACATCCCATCCCCAACCACTATCCACCTTTGAAGACTCAGTTTCGGGGAGACTTCCTCTGGAAATTTTCTCACACTTTTCCTTCCAAATTACAAGCCCCTCCTCAGAGGTTACTTGTTTTTCTCCCTCACTTGTCTGTGACCTCCTACAAAGCAAGGACCAGATCTTTCTTCTCTCTGTATATTCCCAGGACACCACAAGCGCTCAATGCACAAGCTCAGTAAAGGTCTATTGACTAAATCAATAAGTGAATGAATATAGTAGGATACATCAGCCTTGCAAATAACTCCCCTCCCATTTAGCAGCAGGTGATAAAATTGTACATCACATTAGAAAAGAATTCTAACTTTATTAATTTAGCTGCCTATGCTCAGCTTCCGGGAGGGTGGACCTCACAAAAGCTTTGGACATAGCTAATGTAAATGAAAAATAAATCAACAAGTTCACCAAAAGGTGAAATTTTTTTTTTTTTGTGAGGAAGATCAGCTCTGAGCTAACATCCATGCCAATCCTCCTCTGTTTGCTGAGGAAGACTGGCCCTGAGTTAACGTCTATTGCCAATCCTCCTCCTTTCTTTTTTTTTTTCCCCCCTTTTCTCCCCAAAGCCCCAGTAGATAGCTGGACGTCATAGTTGCATATCCCTCTAGTTGCTGTATGTGGGACGCCACCTCAGCATGGCTGGAAAAGCGGTGCGACGGTGCGCGCCCGGGGTTCCCAACCCATGCCACCAGTAGCTGAGCGCGCGCAGTTAACCACGAAGCCACGGAGCAGGCCCCCAAAAGGTGAATTTTTAAAAGTAAATGTATCTCATTAGCCTAGCAACCTTAGCAAGCTTTTAAGTAAATTGAAGCCAGGGACCAAATTATTATGAGAGTAAAGAGGAAAACTCTAAATGTGACCCCCAAACTTGTCAGATATCCTTAAAAACCCTTATTCTAAATAAATTCATCTAAATTTGCACAGGAGAGTGGCAATGGGGAACGTTAACCGAGAGAAAAGTCACAGTTTTAACATTTCATTGATACAGACAGTTTCCAAAATGAGGCTTTAAAATTATCTTGTGGTTAAAGGGACTTTTAATTACACATATACACATGCGTGTGCGCTTGTCTCTATTAGCAGACTGTCCAGTCTCTATTTAGCAGACTGCTAATAAATTGAAAAATACCCAGTTTTCTAGGGGGAGAAAAAAAAGAGCAACCGTAATCCTAAGTAATTCAGTGTTCTCATCCCCGTCTCTGCGGTGGAATACCCAACCCACAGATGGTTAGGAGAACTTAGGGGTGGCTTTTCTTCCCGGGGTTTTGGATCCAACCATCTGTGCCATTTCACCAACTCCGACTAAAATCCCCTTCTCTATACCAAAATTTATTAGATCATCTCTTCTGGAATGATTCCTAAATCAAATCTTATTAAGACATGAGTGAAAATAAATCCCTGGAAACTGAGAAATTTCTTAAAATGTCTCCCCAAAAAACTCATTTCCTTTCCCCCTTAAAATAGGGGCCACATTGAATACATACACAACCCACTCTTTAATAGGTAACTTCTCATCGGTACGACCATGACAGTCTCAGTAACACTTGTGACATTCTATGATGACTAGAGCCCAAGTGACTCCAGTCACTTCCCCTGGATGCCAATCCGTTCCTGAAGTGACATCAACTCTTAAGAGCCAGGGGTCGCACAACAGGTGGAGCGCCAAGCACTCTCCGGATGCGAAAGCCGCAAGCCCTCAGGGCGCTTCCTTGCGGGCATCCACGAGACTTCAAGCCCCCGACGCTGCGCGCACTCCGGAGCTGGGGCAGCGGCTCGACCCGGCCGCTCGGAGGGGGCGGGCGCGCCGGGTCCACGTCGCCTCCACGCCCACCTCCTCCCGCTACGCATCCCCTCCCCTTGCCAAAACTCGGACTCTCGGAGCTGCCCTTATTGTTGGCCGCGTCTGTCACTTTGTGAGCCGGGTGACATGAATGGATGAGCTGGACACACCTTCCAGCCTTCTAGAAAAAAACCCATCCGGATCTGCATAGACAGCGGGAGGGACTCCGCCGGCGCCCCCAGAGCCTACGCCACGGGCCAGGGAAACGCACAGCTCCCCCCTCCCACACTCACTCCTCCCATCCCTTAAAAAACGCCCAACCCAAATAAATACTACCGTTCCAAGCCTGCCAGCGTGTTCCGTGCCATCTCCTCCCCTCAGGGTTTAGCGCGCTCCAGCCCTGCGGGAGGCGGCGGCGCGGGGCTGGGTGCGGGGCGCGCGAGCGAGAGGCGGGCGCGCAGCCGGCCCGCGGGCGCCCCACTATGCTCCCCAGCGCCGTGGCGGCCCACGCCGGCGCCTACTGGGACGTGGTAGCCTCCTCCGCGCTCCTGAACCTCCCCGCAGCGCCAGGCTTTGGTAACCTGGGCAAGAGTTTCCTGATCGAGAACTTGTTGCGGGCCGGGGGCGCCCCGCCGCACGGGCTGCCGCCACCCGCGCCCCACGGCCCGGCGACGGCTCTAGCCACCGCCACAGCCGTCGCCGGCGCGCAGGTCCGGCCCCTGCCGGCCAGCCCTGTGCCTCTCAAGCTGTGCCCCGCGGCCGAACAAGTCAGTCCCCCCGGGGCGCCCTACGGCACGCGGTGGGCTTTTCAAGTGCTCAGCGCCTCGGCGGACGGGGCAAGGCTGCCGGGCCGGGCTTCGGCGGACCGGGACTGTACCTTCCATCCTTCAACCCCAGGTGAGCCAGCTCTCCCCTCTGCAGCCGCGCCCGGTGCCTCCCGGCCGGCCGGTCCCGGGATCTGGGCGCGCCGGCTCTGCGCACTGTGCCGAGGGCGCCCCGGCCCCTGTGTGCAGTATTCCGCGCCGGCCTGGGACCTTCCTAGAGCATCTCGAGCTCCAGTGGAAATGCTACTTCGGGGGTAAGGAGGGGACCACCAAGAATTGTGATTTTTCCCTCCAGCCCATGCTGCCAGCTTCCTCTATGTCCCCTTCCTTCAACAAGTGGTAGAACTACCTTGATTTTCAGGCCTTTCCGGAGAAACTCTGAAGGCACCTCGTTGTGTTAGCCGGAAAGGGCAGCCCCAGGCCCGAGATCTCTGAGCTCGCTGGACCAGTTTCATGGTTTTTCCCAAGTTCAGCATTTCTGTCCGCCCGCTCCTGTCCCGGAGGCCGCGCGACACTGGCTCCCTGGAAAGTTCTTGGCAAGTAGAGCTTCGCGCGGCCCTCTTCGGGGTCCTTAGCCTCTCCCGGGGTCCTTAGCCTCTCCAAGTGTTGCGACGGTCGGGACAGTTCGAGAACGCGCGCAAAGATCTTTGGAAGGAGAGTTGCGCAAAGTTTTGGCTTTCTCCACTCAGGTTTTTAGATCACTAAGGCGAAAGGAAATCAAGGCCGACTTGTACTTCGTGCTGAGCTGAAACAGTTGAATTGGCGCCTGGAGTGGGAAGTTCAACAATAAGAGGGCATTTACCAAAATAAAGGCAGTTTTGCTTGGTTTGTTGGTAATTCCCGCATAAAACCCAAGTAGTATGACTGAGAAGAGGATGCGGACAGTTTAGTCAAATATTAGCTCAGGCTTGCGGAGGCGCTGCCGAAATTGGCAATGAACAACGGAAAAAGCCTCTTAGAGACCAGGAGCTGATATCCCGCTGGATTAATTTTTTTTTTCTTTTTAGATTGCTTCCTTAGACTATTTTAACTCATTCTTTTAATCCCATTGGGTTTGTCCAGAATGACTAATAGACGCTTTTTCAGCAGATTCATTGTCCCAGCAAACTGCCGGATCAAATTTATTGCTAATGGCTTTATAGAATTTAACATGTTTAGAACCTGTCCTGGTCTTTCAGTTTGAAATGGTTACTAACAGAAAGGAGCAAATATAATTGTATGAGCACCGCTCTTATTCACGTAGTGTAAAACCTAAATTCTAGGAAGCCTTTTTGCAGCCTGGGAGAGGAACAAATAACAGTTGAGGCAGAGTATATGTGCCTTGGAAATTTGGGCCACTCTGTTCTTTTTGAAGTATTAAGAAAATTAGAAACGTATAAAGCGGGTTCGGGTGGACAAGAGTTAGTAAATAATTAATATTGTCTTATAAAAATAACATTTTCAAGAAAATTTGGTGATTTGCATAACTTTTGGTGATTTGGCGTCGTGTTCATAGAAGTTATTTTTCAAGGATTCTTAAATTACTCCTGATCATGATTGGCTACTCAACCATGGAAAGTTACTTAATTTTAACCATTGTAGATTTTACAGATTAAATTTCGATAAACCAAATGTGAACCAAATGCAGATATTTCAATAACTCTGAAAAATAATTTTGTATATCTCTTTGTTCCGTTCAAAGCATTGCAATTATTGGGAAAAGGGTTTCGTAACTACATTCTTTTTATTTTCAAGAACATATTCATTCTTGTACACTTATTAAAGTGCCAAAATGCAACAGTGATTTTTTGGAATAATTTAGAGGGTATAAGAATTTATGTTTCTCTTTGCCATATTCTAAAATAGTTGAGGCGTATATTTTTTTCCTAATATTTTGTTCAGTTCTCATGGAATATTTGATATTTTCCTAGGTAATTTTTGTTTGAACAAATAACTTTTTATTTTAAAAAATCAGGCTTGTAAAGAGTGCATTTAATTTTTGAAACTAGAAAAATATCTTAAAATTAAAACCCCATAAATTTGTGCCCACAAATATGCTGCTTAAAACCAGCATTTACATTCACTTGTTTCTGTAATTTGACAGAGAATGTAGTTTTCTGAACGTTGCCCCAGTTTTATTTAACTGACAGATTATTGCCTTACCGAATGTTGTGGGAATTTTTATACTGTGTAGAATTAGGAAGTTATAATGAGTGCTGACAATGTTACCTATCACCTGAAAATTAGATGAGGATGAAACAGTGAGTGATGTTCTGTAGAGAGTATAAAGGAGATAGAAAGCTACTGTTTTCAGAAAGATAAGGTTTCTGTCTGAAGTGTCTGCAAACAACCAGTTCTGATCCTTTAGACACTAATTTAGGAATGGATCACAAAACGTGATTTTTAATCATTTCAGCCTATTGACTATCGACTTTTTTCTCAGCCTTAATGTGTTGAGTGCACCAGTCTAAATGCTGCATGAGAAAACCCCAGAGTTCTTTTTAAGTGCATTGGTGAAATACAGCACTAGAGGATTTATGCCGCTGTGTGCATTTCTGCTTCATTATTTTTGTTACCCACATTTAATTATACCGTATATTTCATTCATTCAGCAAATGCTTACTGTGTGTCTCCCATGTGTCAGACTCTGTTCTAGTCATTGGGATAATCAATGAACAAAACAGATGACTGTCTCTGCCCTTGTGGACCTTAGGTTCCATGTTCTGTACTGCTTTATGGTTTACCAAGCATTTTTGTAGTTGTTAGCTGCTTTAACTCTCATAATAGGCCATTTTTTTCCTACAATGATTATTGTACTTGCTAATTGTGTTTATGTCTGAAGTACCAGTTTAAACATATGTGGACTTGTGAAAGAGAAGAAAATTGCCCCAAATATTCAGGTCCTTTAGATTAGTCTTTCATTGAATATGAGAAACTGACAAGGGATAACGGGATGACCAATTACATGTATCACAATAATAAATCAGATTGTGATTTTGTATCTGAGCCCATAAGGGAAGAACTACTGGCTTTCTCCTGCATCTTGTTGTGTGTCTGAAATGTGGTGAAAGTTACACAGTAACACAGATTTCCAGGTCATGTATGAAAGTATAGCTGTCAGTGCTTCATCCCAGAAAATTGGCAAGTCTTTGAGTATTTAGAGCAAGAAAAGGAACACTCTGTAGCTATATGTTGTCAAATTATATAGCTTAAAAACTTAACTTTAAAAGTCAAAGGGCATTCCTCAAGGCTTGAGAGGGACATAGTAGGTAGTAAGTAGGTTCCCCTCCAGGGGTTGTATCTGGAAAAAAAGAAAAAAATCTTGAATTTGTTATAGTTTATTAGTGGAAAACAGGAGGTTTTGCAAATAAATGCTAATCATCAGCGATCCTTCCCCAGAAGCTGATTAATGTCATTATTTGGTGAATATTGTGCTAGATTAAAATATTCATGTTTTTGTTTATAAAAGAGGGTCTTGAAGTGTAAAAAGCTAAAAAAATTAAATTTCTCTTGGTTTGGCACCAATTTTCTTCAAAATAAGTGGAACAAATGGCCTTACTTCTTAATAACATTTATTTTAAACATTTTAGAAAATGTTTGACATAAACATAATTTCCTGAATATCATTTATTGATTATTAAATCTACTCCTTGTGCTACATATAAAAGGATTAGAAAGCAAATGTTTATTCTGGATAGGTGAGTTGAACTATTATTTTTTTATAGTAATTTTGTTAAGTAAGTTGTACTGTATAATATAGAAATGGGACCAGATCCATAGTATTTTTCCTGGCACCGTGTTAGGATTATTTCTTACCATTAATTCTTCTTATTAATACTTATTACCGTTATTCTTATTATTAATACTTAGTGTGCCCTCTCCTTTTCTTGTCCACTTTCTTGTTCCAGTTAGTGTTTATCTGTTAATCCTTGACTCTGTCTTAAACTGCTTGCACCTGTGTTTGTGCTCCAACTTGTAGTTTCTTCCACTTTCATTGAGATACACTGAAAGTGTGAAATAAAATAGCTTTTCTTATGTTTTAGGTACTTGGGAGAGGGAGGAGAAGATGGATCTGTGCTCCAAATAGGGATTCCAGTCTAACTGGAGACTTGGTGATCTGACTTGTTAGGCCAGAGTTTGTCATTTATTTTTGCGAACACTCTGCTCTAGATTTGTTTTGGCAAATTAAAATGACAGACTCTTGAACGCTGATGATGCTGACCCAGACCCAGGACAATGAGAACAGAGAATTCGGAAAAGGATAATGATGGGACCCATTCTAGTGGTTCCTCACTCGGGCCATTGCCCTAATAAGCATCCTTTGGTGGAATTTATAGATAATCCCGAACCATATTCTTACTACATCTGTATATTTTTTGTAATCTGCCTGCCATATCTTTGGATTTATATTAACATATTAATAACTTTTACGTAATTCATGAGGAATCAGCTCTGAACAAATTATTATATGGTCCCCAAGTTAATAAACTTCAGGTTCAAGGAGAAGTTCTTACAGAGAAGAGAACCAATAGGACTAATAGTCTCTTTGCTTCTGGTACTGATGGAATAAGCCACACTTCTAACAAAATAATGTCTGAGAAGGAACTGCAACAGGGGAGCAATTTACTGCATGTAACTGGCCTCTGACTCGAGCACCTATCCCTCTCCCAACCCCTAGCACATGCTTCTCGACTTCACTTTAACAAGAAGGAATCTCAATCTGTTAACATGTATTGAAGTTATTGAGGTTTAATAATAAAATGGGAGTAAATCCAGCAGGCAAGTAGGAACATTTTAGAACTTTCCCCTTAACTCTTATTCACTTTAGGGATTTGAGGGTTATTTTAAGAGACACAATAGTTTGAATGCCCAGAAAATTACGTAAGGATTTATGCAGAAATAAATGTAGGATTCAGCGAGTTCAGGGTTACGTACTGGATGCCATATGTTGTGGGCAATTTAAAAGGATTGTCAATGTTATTTTATCTACATTTGTTTGCCATACATGTGGCTCAGATGTTGGAACCAAAGCTGTGCATTAGACTCCATTGTATACTCTTTGGGGGTGCCACCTCCTTCCTGTTCTTGTGCCCA